TCGGTTACAAGACAAACTGGTATACCATACAACCACTGGGAACCAACTCAATGGTCATTCCATGAATTCTAACTTCTACCAATTCGTGATTATAGTGTCACCACCAACCAGTGTCATCGGCGGGACATCCATCCTCGCACTTCACTGGTTGGAATCACTGGTCATGACTTCTCACCAGAACTCCAGGAAACTTCATACTGTAGCAAGTCACTAGCGGGCATCGGATTAATTTTCAATAGTTGGTTTGTAGGGATTAGTTCTTACAAATGACTAACTACAGGATGAAGTTGCCAGAAGTTTTTGTAAGAAATCGTGATTAGCCAGACCAACCAAGTTCAGTGGAAGGATGATTACTCACCGGTGACATTTATTGGGAGTCACACTATATATCAAAAATCGGTGAAAGTTAGAGCTGATAGTTTATTGAATTCTACCCTAGTGACTAGAGGGCCAGAGATCTCGCCTAGTAACCTTAATGTCTTGGGTTCGACCCATGGTTGGGTGATGATTGTGTACTACTGAAGAGTCCTACACTTGAGTGAAACCTTTGTCAACGGCTCACTGGCCTTCATTGGTTCTGTAACTTAATTCGGTCCGCGATCACTCTTGAAATCAGTCACTTCTCTACAAATCAAAACTTCAAATGTATTTACTTCATTTGAGTGCTGAGTTTGCAGTAATGAACTAATGCTCTACTCTGGTTGTCAGAAAATATTTAATTTTCTTGAACAAAGTGTCCACTGGCAAATTTTACTGGACACGATGAATTACAGAGTTTTATTTCAATGCTGTTCACAGTTCATAGTGGGTTTGAAACTCGTTGGTGGGTGCATACTGCCGATGATTCCCAAAACCAAGCTGAAACAGCTGTCCAGTACTCCCTGGTTTCCAATAGTTCTCTAACTGATATCAGTCCGTGGTCAAACTCATGAAAAAAAATCTAATCCCTACAAACTTACTCTTGAAAGAATAATAGTAACTGTTATTATTATAAGTGAAATAAAGCTTTTTTTCAGACAATATGCCAACACACAGTACAGAAATTCTCAGCGTATTTATTTTCAAAATATTTCCTCTTTATACAGGATTTACATGTAAAGCAATAATCCTAAGTTTATCATGTAGCATAGTGTTGTTGTGTAGAAAGTGAGAACCAATTCTGTACATATCTCCTTCACTTCCCCTAAGAATCGTACGGTAATTTCTTGAAAGTTAGTTAAATATCCGTGCAAGTTCATATAGAGATCATTTGTGATAAATGCATGACTTGAACAATAAGAAATGAAGAAGAGTTTAAACAGTTTTGATAGATGGATGGAAATTCTAATAGCCCAGAGATTTATAGCAGGCCGCTAAACTTACTCATGTGGACAAAGATTAAGTAGCTGAATTTCTATCAAACTTACAATGTAGGATATATTTAAAATGAAGCTCGATCTAACTAATGCTTGGCCCTGTACAAACGCAAGTTGCGTTTAGGCCTTTTATTCACTCCAGAATCTTGTCCATAACAGGTGGTTGAGAAGTATTCAAGCTCCAAACGAGTCAATCATGTATCTGGAGTTTTGATCGATTTTACCGAGCTAAGAAGCGCTAACGACTGAACCGAGTAGTATTTTCCATCTACTGATATCAATCATTAGTGTACGCCATCTTATTAAACTAAATAATACATAAATTTCGCTTACTGATAGTTGCTAAGGTACACATAATTACTCCAGAAAGAACAATTATCAGATATTGTAAGAATTTTCATAAGAAAAAGTGAAAGGTGTGAAATGTTAATTGGTGATTTTTTTTTTTCTTTAATGAAACCTCAGGTGTATGGACATGTATGCTAGAAGTGATCTCAGAGCATAGCAACATAAACGCTATAGTTCAAGTACATCTCAAGGTTGTAATAGATTCCAAGTATTGTTCACACCTAACACTCCTTTACTTTTCCAAACTAACCCTATAATCTATTCAACTGAAAGCTGTAGACTCAGTGTTCAGCTATAGCAAAATTTATTAAGTAACCGAGATTATTTTATATGACTGTGATAATTAAGTAAATCACTGATGATGTTAACAGACTTTTCATAAAGTTAATCCCTTTCAGTTTTGCATTTGATTGATTGGAGTCAAGTCTACTCTGAGAGAAATGGCGTAATATCTAAGTTAGATCATATTTAACCTTCTGTTGCTAACATAGATACAAAGATTCCGATTTATAACTTTAGGACAAAATACCACGATATGCACATCAATTCTCCTTTGAAAGTCCTAAGACGGGGTTGTCATTCCTTGACCTTGATATGATTATGAGCAATAAATTGTGCTCGAAACGTCGTCAGTAATCACATTACTGTATAACACAGTGAGACTTTATCAAAACAAAATTTACCCATAATGGAATTACATTCTACCACAAGTGCACAAGTTTTATTCTTATATCGACTGGGTTGTTAGTCGAATCACTGAGAAACTTAGGCATCTTATTCTTTTGTGGTGATTTCCAAGAATAAATCACAGTTTAACGACGGTGGCATAGCGATTAGGACGCTCGCCGACCACCCACATAGCCCGGGGTTCGATTCCCGGCCACAGACACACTCCTTTAACTCGCTAAGCCAGTAGTGAGACTGGTTATAAGGAAAGATTGGACATGAGACTAGCTGCCCCATCCTGTAAAAATTAACACTGCTACAGAAATGTAAAACCTCTGGCTTGGAGCCTTATGTTCCACTGGGAACGTGAAGGAAAAAAAAAGCGACGGTTCCAAAATTAGTTTTCTTTAAAACACAGTTCATTTGATAGTCAACATGGTTTTTTTTTTTTCAAGAACGAATTAACTCATGTATTTAATTCTATTGTAATGTGATGATAGGGACTATCTACCTGATTATACTGTAAGATAACCTAGGTGATAACATGTTAGACAAGTCTGGTAGCTTTGCATGAAAATCATGTGGGTGAAAGAAGCGCTTGTCGCGCCCACATAACATCTAATTAGCTGTTATCTTATTTGTAAAGGCGGAAAAGAAAATCTCCCACCTTGAGGTTTATCTATGCGAAGCCAAAGAAAAGGGATTAATTCAAAGCGGGAAATAGAAAATTACAAGAATTTTTCTTGATCTAAATTACAAGTGAACATCATATAATAAAATCAGGGTTTCCTTAATTTATTTCTTCTTGTTGCTCCTCAGATCCAGCGATTCAACGCGAAGTTATATCATCAACAACAACAAAAAATAAGTTAACACCAAGACCAGCAGTATGTGTACATAGGATAATGGCAGTCTAGAAAACATGTCAATCTTGTCTATAAGAAAGGCCAGCTAAAATATATAACATGTTTTAAAAAAAAATATCAAATCAAGTCAAAGACTGTCACGTGTCAGTGTGTTGTAAAATAAGAGAAAATTGTTGGTCCACCACTTTGTTTGTCACCTTGAATATGTTTGTATGTATGTGTGTATGCCTGTATTTGAATCAGTTACTTCATGTATACATTTCTAATAACCTTGGGTAAATAGTGTTGGAGACATTCTTTATCAAGTAATTATGTCAAATTATCAATGCAATTTCGACTTTTTTATTACACTTAAACTAAAAGTGAGTTTATCATAAACTGAAAATGAAAGTTAGATAAGCTTTCAAACAAATTGGTCAATTTCGATAGACATTTTGAAATTAATTGGACCAATATTTAAACAGAGATTGAAGATTTTAACTTGGTTAGATAAGTGTTGGGCAATAATTAAATTAGCTTCTATCATTAGTCTGGAGAGCATAGATCTTAGTTTATCGAATACTGCATACCATGGTATCAGTTTCGCCTCAAATCGTTTTTAGTCATTTCATATCTTGTTGACTTCAAAGACAATTACACATGGAAGTTGAGCCTTTCTGTTATAACTTAACCTCTACTCTATTACAGTTTATTAATTCATGCATTCCTTCCATTCTATTTTTATTCTTCCCTCGACTTCTCAATAAGTCTAACGTTATATTACATCGGACTTAAAAGACTGTAAGCATGGTTAATGGCGTATATAACCAGTTGACATTATTGTTGATCGGTATTTTAATTTTACCAAGCAACTGGCTTAAGTTATCCCATCGTATACTGAATGTCCCAATTTACTCTCAGCGTTTTCGTTTTGGCACTCTAGACAAAGATTTATGCACGTACAACTAAATATAAAAATTCAAACAAATTATATCTTGTTCAGGCGTTATATGAAGAGATTAACGTCGGAAAACAGCTTACAACCTGATTTCATAGCCTGTATCTTTAGCATTTCTGTGACATTATGCATTATGCACAGTAATGAAAATTTCCAATCTCCATAATTACTTTGTTTGAAATAAAGTGATTACTCTTATTACATATTTGTTATTGTATTTCTAAATAATTCAACGTTACTTGCAATGTAGTTACAGAATTTTATTCTATTCGAGTGAATCCTAATCAGTATAACTTAACTTAATGCATTCAAACATTTAGCTTCAGATGACATTTGAGTATATCATAGATTTAAAGACCAGTGTCTAAATCAAATATAGTCCACAGGTATGAATCAAGCGAATGATCAAGTTACTGTCGGATATACGTCAAAATGATAGTTTATCAACCAATGGATTCCTGTCGAGGAGACAACCTTCTACAGACTCCTACGAGGAAGCACTTACATACTAGGCATGAAAGTCCTCAAGGTACAATATTTCACATTTTAAGTAACTGGTGTTAGGGATCATTTCCTGAAGATTTTATCGCTAGGAATTTGTTACAACATGCCATCTTTGGAAACAACTGAAAACTCTAACACAAACTTTCTGAAAGATTCATCACTGTACTGTTTGAAAGTCAACGTATTCCTGGGGACATCTGGCTTCTATATGAGTTCTTAAAGTTACGCATTTCCTAAACCGCCTAACTTTTTGGATACACAGCAATATATATACATAACCTTGCACAGGACACGTTAGCGTAATGAATTCAAAAACTTTGATAATTTAAATTAAATACACTTTTATATAAAATCAGCATTAATACAAATAGGAGTGAAAAATATTAATAAAAATTCATTTAAATTATCTTCTAGGTAAATAAAAGTAAGATTGTAAAACTCTGATTTGTACAGAAAAATAAGGATAATATGGATGAGAATAATAGTATTAATAATGATTAAATTTAACCTCTGTACAATCTAATTTAAAGAAAATCATAATCATAATGTAAAGTCTATCTATGTACAACTAGATTGAAGGATGTAAGACATCTGATACTACTGTTGTTAAACGCCAGTAGTATAAAAGGCAATAAGGAAATTTTGGTTACAATACAAGCATTAAATAAATCAGGAAAGACTCAATCGGAATGGATTCTTTTTATAGTCTGAATGATGAGATGATTTCACTCGGAACTCGACAAGTTCACATCCTCGTATAAGATTTTTAACTTCTTCCACTTCAAGATTGTCACACGGTATACCTTGAACTTCTAAAATTCTGTCACCAACATGAAATACATCCCAGAGTTTAGCGGCACATCGAACACTTCCAAGCCGACTGACATAAATACCTGAAATGTAATAAAAATAGGACTTTAGAATAATTGTTGTTTTTTAGATGACTAGAAAAACAGACGTGCGTAAAACCAATTTAATTCATGCTAAGGATAAACTTTGCAAAAAAGAATGTCGAAGGTGACATCCATGTTGAACTATGTGCTAGAGAAATGTAACCTAATGCGATTCAGCAGTATTCACTACCCATTTGGAGACTGAGACAGATGACTATGTATTCAGTTCTATTGTATCCTGGTTCGTATGCTATTCAAAGTTATATACAATCCCGTATTAACTTGTCGCATAACTTCCTGATTTGATCAAAATAAAACTTACCCTTTGAATCACGGGCAATGAAAAAACCGAATTGACCATTAGTTGATGAACGTCTTAGTGAAATTTGCACTGAACCATCAGGATTTTTACGCGTAACATGACATGTGAGTTTGCATGAAGGATCATGATTGAAGTGAACGTTGGGATTCCCATTAGTAGTAGGCTGATTAGTATTATTTGAATTCGGTGTGGAAGATATACGATCCTGATTACAATTTTCAAATGACGTGGAAGAATTTTTATTCAGTCTATCTGCACTTATAGCTCTTCGTAGGTGACCAAACTTTCGTCGAATATTTTGAAGTACTTGAGCTGTACCTGAGCTTCGAAGTCCGATTCTGTAGGCGATTAAAAAACAGAGAAAACGAGTTAGTTTACACTATTTGACTGTCTGTAATCAGTTCATATTTATAGAGATAAGATACTCAATCAGTGACCTGAATATTAAACATTTTTTAATCCTTTGTTTACATTCACAATTAATAATCTACTTGTTACTATGTTAGTTGACCTAAATTTAATCCTTTAAACGATCTGGCCACCAGTTTTCTAAAAATAAGCACGTTATGGACATTTGATAGATAATCCAGGCAATACTGTTCATGTTTTCATCTGATACAATACCCAGATACTTTTGTATTTACTGAAGGAGTGGTACCATGTAACTACGAGACAACTATTGTGGCATAACACTAATGTGGCTGAATATATACTTTACCATGAGGATATATTTATATGAGTATACACATAAAACTCACCCTGTATGCCTCCTTCCTTTGGGTTTCTCGGTTTGAGGAATTTCTGAAATAACAAAAGAGGCAATGTTCGAGATATTATGTATGACACAAGATTACTAGAAATTCATTGATACAGTCAACATACCAAAAAATTAGTATAACATATGCAAATATAAACAATAAAAAGTTGAAAAAACTTACTGTTTAAATCAATAGGGGAAGTCTGTGTTTCAACAGTGCGTGATAAGCTCGGTCTGGAATAGTTACTACATTCCCATGGTAATGAAACAGATGAATATCTAACTGGTAACTGAAGTGGAAATCCACTTGGCATTGGGACTGGACAAATAGGAGCTAGATGTTTCTTCGGAGTAATTTTAGGAGAAGTTTGTTCAGGTGTTACAAGAATTTCTGCAGCACTTTTTCTCATCCAATATCTTGGATGCGCTTTTACTTCAGAACCCATTGCAAGACAAATTGTATCAATGTCATTTCTTAACTTCACACACTGTTGACCTTCACTCAGTCGGGACTGTTTTGATTCTGTTAAAATTTGCCAAGTGCCAAGATGACGTTTACGCGGGATATCACCACCAATAGGAGATGTAGAATCAAGGGAAGATAAGGAGGAATTCACAATTACTGAAGTATTTGTCAATGAATGAAGAGTGTCATCAAAACACTTCGGAGTTTTATTTTCTTGATATGAGGATTTTGACAGACTTGTGCGGATTGGAAAGTGACGACGAATATCGGACTTCAAATATTGTTTATCCGATCGACAAGATGAGGAGCGTAAAGGCATGGGTAGAATATCATACAGCGATTGCGACGACTTCGTCTGTGATAGTCGACATGATGCACGCATTACGGGTGTTTCAGGTTGTAGATTGTTATCCATTGTTGACCTAAAGAAAAAAATTCAACATGTAATTATGTAATGATTTCAATGGTATATATACTTGTGCGTAGTTGGGAAATTTATTATAGGGAAGAATATGCTGACCTATAAAAAGCATTTCTTTCTAATACAAAAATGACCACACATATTGATCCTAAATATCATAGGGCATTTATTTGGAGGGGTGTGTGTTCTATACATTGATAGGCCTATTACGGCACATACATACATCCTGTCCCTTAACTGGATGATATGTGACGTGATATATGAAAATTGGAAAAAAAATCACATGTTGAGTATGACGTAATAGACAGGATATGACAGTTGGAAGCATCACCTCACCCCCTGAACCAAACATATATATATATATATATATTCACGTTATTTCACGTCATACAAGGATGGTGTGCTTAAAATTTGTATTATGTGGCTTGACATTTTTTTGAGTGAAACAGGATGGATGACTCAATGGGTATTTTCCATGACTTGAAACAGGATGCCAAAATATTTATTGCGAAACAGTACTGTATTACTAATATATTTACGTGTAAGTCATAAGCAACATGTTTGTGAGTGTTCCAATGCCGTAAACATCAATGGGAAAGATAACGCATTACTTTATTACATCGGGATAGTTCGTATTCCTATTTTAATATGGTACTTTTACAGTTGTCCTCAATAGTATCATGTATTGACGCATGACGACAGAAAATATGTCATATATTTAAATGCAAAGATAAATTTATGTTTGTAAGTCACGTATATGCATCTAGGCTCATAGCTGACATAGGAGAGGGGGGGTAGGGAAATTTTACAAGTGAATTTAACATGTGATTTCCTACGTATTTAATATGTAAAGCATTGAATATTTCTGTGAAATTACTAGGCTGTCCCGAATAAATGACGAATCATACACCTATATATTTCAGGAGGTATCTTGTTTCTCAGGTCGTTCACATATTTATCTCAAAGGCTAACTGATTAAGAAATCTGTACATCCTTAGAAATAAGCAACTCTCAAACGCAAAACGATGCAAATTAACTGAATTTTAGTTTTATTTATGATTTCTATGCTGTCTTATCAGCCGTGCATGTCACTACTTGATGTCGCTATGCTACATCAGACCGTGGAAGGTAGTCATAGGTTATATTACTGTTATGAGAGGTTTGTATAGCAGAAGTTTATTCTCTTTAATGAAAACAAAAAACACGTCGTGGAATGTACCCAGCATGGAGAATGGCGAACCACAGGCTCAAAGGTATCCTTTCAGCATTCAAGGATGATATCTTCGAAATATACCTTTACTAAACCTCAAGTTTCTTTCTCTCTGGTATTTTATTACCGGAGTATGCATTGACTCCAGTCTAAAGAGCCTAGGATAAACTATTTGTTGAACAATTTAATATAATTTATTTATGAAACAAAAAGTTGTAAATAACATTCTGAATGCATTCCTACTTCTCAAGCATTTATTAACTATTTGCAGAAAAATAATATTTGCCTGTGTGATAATATTAGTTTGAAAAAATAATGTTTTTACTAAAAAAAAATCAACTTACTGTGTTTGATTCCTGTGATCAGATTCATTTTCCACTACTTTGTGACTTGTGACCACATCAGTAATTTTTTCTGGTTTACATGATAATGATATTACATTTGTATTAGTTGACAAGGCGTTATTAATTGCCCGTAATGGTCCACGAGTGTGACGTTTAATATTCCTTTGCATTATTCCAATTTTTTTAAATAAATTTCAGCCTAGTAGCAGTTTAATAATCCTTAATTTAAGATAGTGGATATCAACTTTTTTTTCAGTTTTCGCTTTATAAGGGGAGCGAATATTCATCCACCAGATAAGTAAGACAGGATTGGCCAATAGGAATTCAGTTACTAGACCCAAGATCTATCTGCTTCATTTTTATTGGCTGACACGCGATAATTCCACTATTGGAATAGTTTTGGTTTCCACTTTTGTTGCTAGCTTATTCTAGTTGAATTTTTGTATACCTAGATAAATTTGCATCCTGATTTATTAACCACGACCTACTGACTCTTTACTACTATTTTGAACATAGAAATACACATTGAATGGAAATAAGGGGAAGGTGTAAATATATTTCTTTCCGAAATGATTTTCCCTTCAATTTAATTTTTCGGGGCATCTTCAGTCATATTTTAGATACATATATATTATTTAAATCACTTTTAGATTTTCCTGTCAGTTGATTGGACCGATCTGCTCAGTCTGAGGTTTATATGTCGGCTTCTCCTGCAGATGCTCCGACAATGTCTGGGCATGTAATTCGAAGTTAATTAGTGAATGGTGATTAGCAGTGGAATCCAGGATGCGCATTTCGTCCTATTTAGGACTCATCATATGGATGTGACTGCATCCTGCAGCGAGTGATGATGTTCCCACCGAGGTTTGAACCCAGTGCCAAAGCATTATCCATCAGATCATATTATTTATTATTTTCAAGAGTTGATTTGTAGGGAAATGATTTTTTTCAAGTTTAACGGTGGACTGATATCAGTCAGAGAACCATTAGAAACCAGGAAGTACGAGACAGCTGTTTCGTTCCAGTTTCAGACCGATCAAAGCACGGCCGCACCAGGTTTCGAACTCAGGACCCTTGTGTTATCAGAAAATAACTAATCTCGTAGCATATCAGAGTGTGTTGGTGGTTCAGTGCTAGAATATTCACCAAACATGCATACGGTCTGGGATTCGATTCCCAGCCAAAACACTACGAAATGTTGCTTAATAGGTAGTAAGTTTAGTAAAGAGGGGAAGCTGGGCTATCAACCTCACAGAGTAATAAAGCTGCTAATGAAAATCCAAAGCTGAATCTTGTAGCTCTGTATTCCAATCGAAACGCAAAGGAATGGAAAAACAATAAAAGGTTTGTTATAATCCTTAAAATGAGTATTAGTTGTTCTATGTTGGTGAAAGCTGAATTCTTTGTCCGAACAAAAAGCCTCCAGAGTGTTAATAAGGTAAGAAATCCAAGATATTAGTTGGGCCTATTTTGTCTTCTTCAAAAGACAGAGTAACTGGTAGGCTGAAATGTTAGAAGATAAGCGTCCATTTTCTCATGATGAATATCTACCAAGAAAGTAACACTCCAGATTCAATAGTCACAATCAAAAAGAATGGAATAACTTGTCTTGTAAAGGTTATGAGGAACCTTTGCCAATAGAAGCTGATTGATTATTATTATAGTGAATGTAATAACAAGTTACCAAAAATACTCAGATAGATCAAACTATTAGCAAAAAGGATAAAACAGTATTCGTCAGACTAAATTAATATCACAAATACTGATAGCATTTTCACGTGTCCAAACCAAGTGTCTACTAACTTAGTTCCTATAGTATTCAGAAAACAGCCTCTGATTTTAGCTAAAACGTCTGTGAAAATAATAACATACCATTATTATAATTTAGAACAACACTTTTAAGCGAATAAAATTGTTCGCTATGGGAATATTTAATAAATTATTATAATTATACAGAGTGGAATTTTCATCGTTTTCATACGTTTTGCAACAATTTAGCTCAGATAAGATGTAAAAAATAATAATAAAACCATAAAACTGAAAATGAGTGGGAGATTATTTCTCTTCACCTTCCCCAGTGGAACATAGGGCCTCAAGCTAGTGGCTTGGAGTTTCTATAGCAATGTTTCTTTTTTACAGGATGGGGTTGCTAGCCTCATGCCCAACCTCTCCTCTTTACCAGCATTATTTTTAGCTTAGAGAGGTAAAGGAGTCCGTTGGCGGCCGGGGATCGAACCTCGGACCATGTGCATGGTCGGCAAGCGTCCTAATCGCTATACCACCGACGCAAAGTGGGACATAATGAACTACAAATAAACAATATAATAAATAATACATGTAGTAACAATAGTCTTTGCTTTTACCTTGCAGTTCATTTACTGATTTAAGAAGTCTATAAGTTCTTGAAGTTACCTGGTGGATGGTGATTAGCAGTGGAATCCAGGATGCACATTTCACCCTACTGAATTTAATAATTTATAAGTTCTTTTTCTGACATTTGTCTCTTCACACATAAACCCTGCCTAAATATAATATGGTGGAATTTTCATATTTTGCAGTATGAACATTGATTCCTATGAAATTTCTTCTGGTTATACCGGAATAGATACAATGAAAGAGTTGCGAATAAAGAGGATGTTTGGTATCAGACTTTGCGTTTTCTGGGTAGCAAAAATCCCAATTAAAATATTTGGGTAACAGGAAAAGAAAAAGTCTGTGACATTATATCAACACATAGCATTATTTTTTTTAATTTTCTTTATTCCTTTATGTTCTCGATGGAACATAGGTCTTTAAGCTAGAGGCTTGAAGTTTCGGTAGCAATGTTGCTTATTTTAACGGCATTGGGTTGCTGGTCTCATACCCAATCTAAACTCTTCATCAGTCTTATTGCCTACTTCGTGAGGTAAAGGACTGTATAGCCTGGGACTCGAATCACGAACTACAAGCGTCGAAGTTGGCGAGCATTCTACCGCTATGCCACCGACACGTAGTGTTCTGTAATAATGAGTATTATTTTCGTCATATATTAGTCAAAATATGAGATGTGCTTTAATATTTTTTATGCACAAGTAGAGTACATAAAAAGTTATTTTCAGAGGGGAAACTTAAACTTATGAATACTAATAATACTACCACTACTAATAATAATAATAACTTTACTCTAATTAACTATTTTTTCAGAGTAGAGAGGAATAAATTCACTCTTCTTGTGCGTCGGTGGCCCAGTGGTTAGGACTCTCACCGACCATGCACATGGTCCGAGGCTCGATCCCCTACCGACTCACACCTGATATCTATGGTTGGTCTGCAAAATTTGGGCTGCCGATATCGATGCTGAAAATTCCATACTTGTACCAAAAATACAGTGTGGAATCAAGCTGTAGTCAAAAATTAAAAAAATAAAAATAATAAATATCAAATGAAGTAATCAGAATCCTGTAACTCTGTGAATAGTATATCAGCAATAATCATTTGATTTATGTGTCTACGTTTGATTGCTCATTCCCATCAGCTGTGATATTTCTGACTAACATGAAGACAAATAGGTAGAAATCTTTTTTCTTTAATTTTCACTGAAAATAATACAATCTTATGGTGTGTTGTATTCATTAGAACAAAAAACTGAAGCTGTAATTCAAAGGAATATGAATTAGAGCAAAGATGGTATTCCAGTAACGCGAAAATCGACTGCATAGTCGAGGAAATAATGTATTCTATAATTCTAGTACCAGCCTAAAGACTGAAAACTCTTCATTTGTCTATGCAAGACTTACACTACCTTCATGTTGTGAAGGTAGTCAGTAAATGCAGAAACTCAATGGAGTATAGCATTTATATGGAGAATATATCCATAAATAATCTACCTAAGAATAAAAGTCTATCCGAATGGAGAAGCTATTTCAGTAACTACTTCACGCTTTAAAAATCTATAAACGGAAGGAATTTTAATTCAAACCTGTAAGAACTTGATTAGAACCTTATTGAAAAGAATACTATTCATCCAGATTCACTTTTAATTCAAGATATGGATATATGGTTTTTCTATAAACTTTTGGAATAATCTGCGTCATTCAGTAATCAGTAGTCATTTCTATAAAACTTTGTGTATACATTTCAATTTTTGTCATTTGCAGATATACACTACTTATTACTACGATCAGCAACACTTAAATATTCTTAGGTATATACAAAATTCTTTGGTAAATATTAAAGAGTTGATCACGAATTGATATCATTTAGAGAAACATTGAAAACCAGGGATTACTGGACAGCTGTTTCATCCCAGCTTGGGAATCAACGGCAGTACCCACCCTCTAAATGATATCAATCCGTGATCAACTCGGAAAAACCATAACTAACCCTTACAAACCAAACTATAGAAAATTAATATGATGCTGGCTAGTGACTTGCTACAGGATGGAGTCTCCTGGAGTTCTAGTGAGAAGTCGTGAACAGTGAGGTCCAATTAGATGTCACGTGTGTGGATGGATGTCCCACCAACGACAATGGTTGGGGTCACGCTAAATCACAGACTGGTAGAAGTTAGACTTCATGAGCCATTGAATCGGGTCCCAGTGGCTGAATGGTATACAAGCTTGTCTTGTAACCGGAAGGTCCTGGGTTCGAACCCCAGTGGGGTGGGTGCGTACTGCCGATGCTTCCCAAACTAGGATGAAACAGCAGCTGTCCAGTACTCCCTGTTGGTTTTCAATGGTTCTCCAACTGATATCGATCCGTGATCAACTTGGAAAAAAAATAACTAACCGTTACAAACCAAACCATAGAAAATATTAAAGTGTTCAGAGAAGAAACTTGTTTTAACTCTTCTAGAAAAAAATATGTTTAAATTGGTATTCGGAGGTTGAATATTTGAATCTGGGACTCAGGTGTTCCATAAGAATTTGACTGATATTTCATAAAATCACTGTTTTTTTCCGTAACAAAGCTGATGCACAATAAAGTGAGACCACTAGCTAATGCTATCGGCAAGTTTCTGTCCTCCCACCCGACCCACTGTACCTCTCTCCAACAGCATCATGAACTGGCCGTAATTGGAATTCATGGGCTACTGAGTCTGGTTCCAGTGACTTAATCGTTCGTGAGCTCGCCTTGTAACCGGAAGGTCCTAGGTAAGAATCCCGGTGGGTGCGTGCCCATAAAGAGTCTCAAGGTTGGACGAAACAGCTGTTCAGTACTCCCTGCAGGTTTTACAATGGTTCTATAACTGATGCCAACTCATAGTCAGATCATGT